TTATAGGCGTGAGCCACCGCACCCGGCCTTTTTTTTCGTTTTTTTTTGTTTTGTTTTGTTTTTGTTTTTTTGAGACAAGAGTCCTCCTCTGTCACCCTGGCTAGAATGCAGTGATGTCATCGTAGCTCACTGCAACCTCAAACTCCTCGGCTCAAGCAATCCTCCTGCCTCAGCCTTCCAAGTATCTGTAACTACAGGCACGTGCCACCAGGCAGGGCTAATTTTTCTATTTTTGGTAGAAAGGGGGTCTCGCTCTTGCTCAGATTGGTCTCAAACTCCTGAGAGCTTAAGCAATCCCTTCACCTCGGCCTCTTGGAGTGCTAGGATCACAGGTGTGAGCTGCCACGCCCAGCCAGAAGAGGATATTTTAATGGTAGAGCTGACAGGCTTTGCTAAGGGATTGCACGTGGCTTATGATTGGAAAAGAGGACTCCAAAATGACTGCTGTGGTTTGGCCTGAGTTACCACAAGGATAGAGCTGACATTAACTGAGGAAGGGAAGACTATCTAAGGGGCAAGGGGTAAGTTCGAGTGTTTGACCGTGAGCGTGTTAAATTTGACATATTGCTCACACGTGTATTTTCGTTGGTTTTTGGAATCTGAATGTTCTAATACAACCTGAAGATAAAGTCAGCCTTATTTACTGAACACCAGGCACTGTGCAGAAACCTTTGTATGTGTTGTCATTTAATCCTTTTAATCATCCTATTGGCTTAGTTACTAACATGTCATTGCCCTTTGGTGGATGAGAGATTAACATGTCCAAAGTCACTCAGCCAATTATTAATCCGCCAGATTAAGGCAGATCTGGGATTCCCACTCAGGTGTGTCAGACTGTAGAGCTCTTGCTGTTTATTAATCACTGGATTCTAAGGGTGGGGGCCCCTTTCTGAGCATATTTGCTACCAACTTGGTTTCCATAACAAAAAAGCTGCTTGGAACACGTGACAAGAATTCAGAAAAGGGCCCAGACCCATCCTAGGTGTTACAGGTTACACAATAGCTACGAAGAAAGGACTGCATTACTGGACCGGAGAGGCTAACTGATGCTTGAAGGCTCAAGTACCTGAAGTCTTAATGTCAGGAAAGCTGTAATCAGAAGTCTGTTTCGGTTATTATTTTTAAGAAACACGAGGATATTAAAAACTGCAGTGAAACCTTGGTGGGGTCTTTTAGACAGACTCACTCTGAGGCGCTGCTCGTTGGGAAACACTGGAGCGGGGGGAGTCCCTGCCCAGCCTACGTGTCCGTTTGAAAGTGTAACCTGATGTGGCCTTCCGTAGGTGGTCCTCTAGAAGGGTCAGGATATGGAGTACAAAAGCCAGGAACCTCTGGGGGCTGCAGTATCCGCCCCCGGCCCCCCCTTCCCTGTCTCCTGCAGCTCCACGCTGCGAAGAGCGGGGCGGCCGCCCGCGCATGCGCCCGGGGTAATCGCTGCTCCCCGCGACGTCAGGGGGCTCGCGCCCGCTCCAAAGCCCCGCCCCGCGGGCGCCGAAGGCGACCTGGGCGGGGGGCCTCGGGCCACGCCCCCAGACAAGCCGAGCGGGGCCGAACCGAGTCGAGCGCCTCCGAGCGCGGCCGAGCCCGGCCGAGCCGAGCGGCCCGGAGTCGGTTGGTGCAGCTGCGTCCCCGCCACTCAGCAGTCCGCGGCTCCGGCGTCTCCGCCGCCGCCTCCGCGGGGCCTGCGCCGCCCGCCCGCCGGGAGGGAGGCCCGCAGCGCGGGGAGAGCGGCCCGGCCGCGGGCGCTGCCACCGCCGCCGCTGCCAGGTGAGCGCCCGCCGCGGCCCGCCGGCCCCGCGTGCCCCCGCGGCTGTCAGTCCCCGGTGTCTGTGTGTCTCTCTGCCTGTCAGCCCCTGTGTGTGCGCGAGCTTCTTCCCGCCACGCCTGGCCCCTGGCCCGAGTCCCCGTCAGCCCCCTCCCGCCGCTGTCCCGGTCTTTCTGTCAGCAGCCTTCACCCCCATGCTGGGAGGCTCCGCCCCTTCCCCCCGGAGCCCCGCCCTCCGCCCATCTGTCATCACCCCCTGGCTCGGGGCTCTGGCGTCCTGGGGTCCTCGGGTCGGTGCAGCCCCGCGGGCCGCACAGTTGCGAAGGGAGCAGGGGTGGGTGGCGGAGGGGCTAGGGGCGTCCGCGCAGGCCCCTGCCCGTGTGAGGGTGCGTGTGCGCCCGCTCGCTTGCACTCCGCGGCCCGTCACACGCTGCTGGTGTGGCAGCCCATGCCTCTGGTGTAAAGAGTGTCAGCTCGGCCAGGGAAGGCGGCTGAGCCGGGACTCGAGCCACTCGGGGGTACAGTAGCATCCTGAATCCTGGAACCCTTGTTTGCCCTCGCGAAAACACTGCACGTGGGCTCCGTCCGGGTTCCCAGGTGCCCTGGAATGGCGTGAAAGAGGAGTCTGGGGCTTGTTAAGCCTGCCTAGTTGGGGATTTTCATTCAGAGAAGCCTGTTGGAAGTGACTGGGGAGTGGATGGGATGTGGGGCTTAGGTGGAAAGTGTTTGAGAGCTTGAGTCATTTTGAGTTGCATGGTTTGCATTTCTGAGCAGTGATTGCCCTGGGCTTGTGCCCTGCGAGAAGCTGTTATGCGGGTTGGTTGAGGGGGTTGGTGAGGCGGGAGGGCATACTCCTTTCTGTTTTTGTCTATGTGAACACATAGTATATATTTATCTAGATATCATGAAATGTTTATTCATGAAGTGTCCACGTATCCTCAATTTAAAAAAGGATTACGGTAGTTTCCATTTATACATGTTTTTGTACGTTGTCATCTTGATGTTCTTTATTTGTGGTAACTTAGAATTGCAATATTTCAAAACTAAGAGAAAATGAGTCCTAAAACAATTGGTGTTTTGCTGGATAATTCTCAACCGTGGAGAAAGAGCCAAAAGAGCACTTCATTAGCTGGAACAACTTACTCGGGCTTAATTTGTTTCTAAGAGACATACAGTGGAAAAATCCAGAAGCGGCAAAGTAGTATCAAAGAGACTTAGAAAATGAATGAAAAGGGCCCTTCTGTTGCTGCCTTGGAAAGATGGTATCAAAGTTGCTGTAGAGGACAGAGCTACTATGTAATGATAAACATATTAACCAAGTTGGTTTTGTAACCTTGATACAATTGAGCGGAGCATGATTTGTGCAGTGGTTCATGACAGGCAAACATTGCATGGGAAGTGTGGTAATTTTTGGAAAAAAATGTTCCCCATGTTGTTTTTGGGTTTTTCACCCCATGTTGAAGTACGATTTCAGACTAGAGAAGTCTCATGGTGGAGTGTTTTTTCTTTTTTAAGCTAACATTAAAAATTACAAAAGTAATTTATGTTTAAGGCAGAAAGCTTGAAAAACAATGAGAAACATAAGAAAAAAAATCCCCTTAATTCTACAAACCATAGTAAACCACAATTTGGTATTGATCCTTTTAGTCTTTTGCTCTCATGTATATGTATTTTTTCTTATAAAAATGCTACCCTACTATAAGACTTATATTCTATGCTGTTTTCTTTCACATATAATTAGACTGTGAGAGAGATGTCTTGGTTTTATGAGTGGGAACTTATGTTCCTTTCGTGATCCTTTAATGAAGTCATTTGATGTCAGTCCTCTGCTGAGAGCCCTCCAAGAGCTTCTCATCTTAAAGTAAAATCTGAAGTTATTGCTGTGGTCTAGCAGGCTATGCCTGGTCCTCACTTCCAGGCTTGCCAGACAAATCTCTTTGCTATTCCTTAAAAACGTCAAGCATACTCTGGCCTCAGTGCCTTTGCATTTGCTGTTCCCTCTGCCTAGAACTCTGGTCTCTAAACATTGTCATGATTGACTTCCTTACTCCTTCAGGTCTCTGCTCAAATGTAGCATTGTTAGGCTTTCCCCGACCACTCCTGTCCTCCTTATCCTGCTTTACTTACCACCACTTGGTAATGTATATTTATGTGTTTGTTTATTCTCTCTCTCTTTCCCCCACACAAGCCCAGAAGAGTGAGACTTTTTTTACTGATGTATTCTTAGGGCTCAGAACCACACCTGGCCCCATTATAGCTACTTAATATTTGTTGAAGGAATGAACGAACGAATGAATGCTCATTATCCATCTATTCATATGACCTTGCTGGTAGCCTTCTAGTCTTTTAGATAGCTCTATCGTGGGGTGGAATAACAACCTCTGAAAAGTCAGGATATTCCTTTCTCTTCCATATCTGAGAAGAAGAATATTACAAAGTGAGACTTATGATCTTAAAAAGAATTACAGTCTTGATTTAACTTGAACAATTGAGGGAAGGAACATTTTTGGCAAATGTTGCTGGCTTTCCTTCTTATGTGCTATTATTTCTTGTGTCACACTGGAAATCTCTGAAAAGTATAAAGTGTCCCAGTTATGTTTACAGTTGTGATTTCAGTTTGGTCGTTCTTAGTATAAGCCTCAAGAGCACAGTGGGTTTTTTGGTGTCAACGGATACCCAGAGATATCATCACAGCTTTAGTATGTTTTCATTTGGAGAGTAGCTGTTATATTTACTTATTTTCCTGGCAGTTCTATCCTTTTCATTTCCCTGCTTATCAGTTTTTGGATGGTCTAGCAGGTATACTTAAGATTTTTTGTTTTTGAGAGACAGTCTTGCTCTGTCTCCCTGGCTGGAGCACAGTGACATCATCATAGCTCACTGCAACCTCAAACTTCTGGGCTCCAGAGATCCTCCTGCCTCAGCCTCCCTAGTAGCTGGGACTACAGGCATGCACCACCACACCTGGCTAATTTTTCTATTTTTGGTAGAGTCACGGTCTCAGTCTTGCTCAGGCTGGTCTTGAACTCCTGACTTCAGACGATCCTCCCACCTTGGCCTCTCAGAGTGCTAGTATTACAGGTGTGAGCCACTGTGCCCGGCCAGTTTTTGGGTTTTATAAAAAACATTTAAAAACAAATCCTTGACCTTTAGAGCATTTTGCATCTCTCATGTGACTCTTGAACTGTTTGAAAGTACCAGTTTCATCTTTCAGGATGAAACAACATCTACAGTAAAACGTATAATTGCATTTTCATTTATGAGGATGGGAAAAATTGTGAAAGAATTTTTACAGAAAAGCTAATATGTGAGTATAAGCGTTTTAAAGGTTTGAACTTTAGGTAGGCTACTTTTAATTTTAGTGAGTTTTTGAAAAAAGACTGCTTTTTGCTCTTAAGAAAAAAATCCTGTCGAACACAGTCCAGAGACCTTCAAAAACTTTTGTTTTTCTTATGCTCCAAATATACAAGGACTTGATGGTGAGGAGTGGGGAGGAATCCTAAATGGAAAAAAAAAGTTTTAAGGCCGAGAAGAATAAGTTAAGACTGTGTTAAGAATTTTTTATTTGTTCTGCAGGTATTTATTGAGCATGTATTTGGGGCAGTTCTATGTGTTTTTCTGTGGGCTAATTGCCATGTTCGGTTTTGGATTACGAACCTGATTTCTTATGATTTTTTTTCTGGCTCTGCTACTTTCCTTCTTCATCATGTTCTCTCTCTAAATGATCTCATCCATTCCCAGGACTTTAATACCCTCTGGATGCAGATAATTCCCTCCATCAGGGCTCCCACCCTCTCTCTGGTTCCAGATTTGCATTTTCGGCTACCGCCTTCCTGCTAGCTCTCCTTGCTGCCTCACAGTGATCTCAAACTTCCCATGTTCAAAAGTGATCTCTCAATCCCCTCTCAAACTTCCAAATTTGTATTCCTCATCTCTGCCTCCTCCTCTCTGTCCCCTCCAGCCTTGTGTCAGTGTTATTGCTGTCTACTCATTGTTCAGGACAACCTGAAAGTCGTCCTTGACCCTTCCTGTTTCCTCACCTCACCTCCGATCCTTTAGCATGGCCTGTCAGCCTAGCCTCCAGAATACCTCAGATCCTTCCTTCCCTCCATATTCCGAATCCAGCCATCCCTCCTCTCTCAGCTGGATGACTGCCCCTGCCTCCTAGCTAGTCTCCCAGCTTCCACTCTTGCCTTCTTCTAGCTCATTCTCCCCACAGCAGCCAGAGTGATCCTACTAAAAAGTAAACCAGAGCTTGCCACCTCCTTGCTTAGCAGCTTCCACTGCACTTAGACTCGCATCCATGCTTATTCTGAGGTGCAGGGCTCCTTGCTTGCCGTGCTTGTCAGGTTGAGCACTATCAGTTCCTCAAACACGCCACATTCTCCTCTTCTTTTGTACAGGCCCTTCCCTCTGCCCAGCACTCTTCCCCATCATGTCTTACATAAAAATCCTTCTCAAACATACGGTCTCAGCCAAAATGCCTCCTCCTTAGAGGGGCCTTCTCCGATCACCCCTTCTATAGTAGCTTCCTTCCGATTGTCCTCTGTCTCGGTATGTGTGCATTTATTGTTTGACACTTCACCAAAATTCAAAGTACTTCATTTCTGTGTTTGTTTCCTTCTTTATTAAATACTTCCCCAATAGACTACAAGATTTATGAGGGCAGGGACAGCCTTGTCCTGTTTATGGTATAGCCCTGGCACCCAGTGCTCTGTCTAGAATCCAGTAGGTGCAGGGCCAGGGCCTCAAAGCATTTTAAATAATAGTTACTGTAACAGCTAACTTTTTTATTTTTTTGAGACTTATGATGTACCAGGTCCACTGCTATGTGCATTCATACATTATCTCTAAATCTGTGGGAGAACCCAATATGATGGTGATGATAATTGCATTACTATTTATATTTTTTACTTGAGAAATTGAGCTTAGAGGAGTTAAGTAATTTTTAAAGATGTATAGCTAAGAAAGTGGTAGATTTAGGATTTAATCTGCATGATTT